CTCCTTGTTGGGTAGACCCTTTAATTGTGATATAGTGTCCTTCCTCATCTCTTATTACAGTCTTTGGTTTAAAATCTAATTTGTCTGATATAAGGATTGCCATCCCAGCTTTCTTTTGGTGTCCATTATGGTGATAAATGGTTTTCCACTCCCTTACTTTAAATTTGGAAGTGTCTTTGGGTATAAAATGAATCTCCTGCAGACAGCATATCTATGGGTTTTGCTTTTTTATCCAATCTGATACCCTGTGTCTTTTGATTGGGGCATTTAGTGCATTTACAGAGTAACTACTGAAAGATATGAATTTAATAATATTATATTTCCTGTAAAGTCCTTGTTACTTTTGTTGTCTCTGTTCCTTTCTGGTCTATGTTACTCTTGGGCTCTCTCTTTCCTTAAAAGGATCCCTTTCAATATTTCTTGTAGGGCTGGTTTGGTGATCCAAATTCTTTGAGTTTCTGTTTGTCCTGGAAGCTTTTTCTCTCCTATTTTAATGACATCCTAGCATGATAAAGTATTCTTGGCTGCATATTTTTCTCATTTACCATCCTGAATATATCGTGCTTATCCTTTCTGGTCTGTCAGGTCTCTGTGGATAGGTCTCCTGACAGTCTAATGTTTCTACCCTGTGTATTTGTTAGGTACCTCTCGTCCCAAGCCGCTTTCAGGGTTTTCTGTTTGTCTCTGAGATTTGCAAGTTTCACTATTATATGCTGAGGTGTTGACCTATTTTTACTGATTTTGAGGGCAGTTTTCTGTTCCTCCTGGACTTGAATGCCTGTTTCCCTCTCCAGATTAGGAGTTCTCTGCTCTAATTTGCTCCAATATACCTTCTGCCCCTCTCTCCTTCTTCTTCTGGGATCCCAATTATTTTAATATTGTTTTGTCTTATAGTATCACTTATCTCTCGAATTCTCCCCTCGTGATCAAGTAGTTGTTTATCTCTCTTTTTCTCAGCTTCTTTATTCTCCATCATTTGGTCTTCTATATCACTAATTCTCTCTTCTGCCTCATTAACCCAACAGTTAGAGCCTCCATTTTTGATTGCACCTCATTAATAGCCTTTTTGATTTCGACTTGGTTAGATTTTAGTTCTTTTATTTCTCCAGAAAGGGATTCTCTAGTCTCTTCTATGCTTTTTTCAAGCCCAGCTTGTATCTTTATAATCGTTATTCTGAACTTTAGTTCCAACATCTTACTTATTTCCATACTGATTATGTCCTTGGCAGTCAGTACTGCCTTTTGTTCTCTTTTTTGAGGTGAGTTTTCCATCTTGTCATTATGTCCAGAGAAGAATAGATGAACGAGAGAACAAAAACTAAAATGGCAACCACAACCCCAGAGAAATACACACTAAACAAATCAGAAGAGACCAAAACAGAAAAAAAAAAAAAATTAAAAGAAAGAAAAGGAGAGAATATAATCAGAGAGGTGAACAGAACAGTGCAGTACACTGGATCCTGTGTGTATTTTGGTCTGTTTGTTAGAAAACTAGATCCCAAAATTGTAAAGAAAGAAAAACTTATATGTGTACAAGAATAAAGTTAAATACCATGAAAAGATAGAATGTAAGTGTAAAAATGAAAATTAGATTAAAAAAGAGTGGATAAAATAAGAAATTGGTTGAAAAAGGAAAGGAAAAAAATTAAAAGTGAAAGACTATAGAATTATAGCAAATAAACCATGAATTCTGTATGCTTTATTTCTGTGGTGCTAGAGTTTTGCAGTTCTCAACGATTGGTAAACTTGTTCTTGGCTGGATGTTCATGCTAATATTCTGGGGAAGGGCCTGTTGCATTGATTCACAAGTCTCTTTTCCCCAGTCGGAATTGCACCACTCTTGCCAGGGGCCAGGCTAAGTAATTGGCTCTGGATTGCTCTATGTGGCTTTTGTTCCCTGAAGGCTTTCTGTGCTGCTTTAGAGGATGAGAATGAAAATGGCACCCTCCCAATCTCCAGCTCCAGAGCCAAAAGCTCTGGGTCCCACCTCGGTGCACCCTCAAGGGAAAGCAGTTATAACATCACTCCTGTCTCCCTGGTCTCCATCTGCTCTCTGTGCTCATCCAGCCTGTGACTGAATGTTTGTATCTCAGGCATGAGACCCTGCTTTGAGTCTCCAAGCTCTGCAGACTCCTGTGGCGTGCATCCGAGCTGCTCTTCCTGGGGGAGAAAGGGGCTTCATGGGGAAACAGATCATGTTGCAGCCATTTTTTCCTAGATCTCTGGTTGAGTTCACAGGTGTTCAGAATGATTTGATGGCTATCTAGCTGAATTCCCAGGACCAGGCAAAACTAAGTTCTCCTACTTCTCTGCATCTTGGACTCTCTCTTTGCTTTTGTTTAGATATTTTCTTCAGACATATCTTTCAATTAACTAATATTTTTTTAAAAACTGTGTTTCAATTGCTATTACACTGACCTAAGTTTTTAATTTCAGATTATTCTATTTTTCAGTTCTAGAATGAATTCTATTTAAATCTTTCCAAAGATTTCACTTCTCAGGAGAAATTCTCCATGTTTTTAACTCTTGTTTTTCATTTTTTTTCTTCTGTTTTCTTGAACACATTAATTATACTTATTTTAAAGTTCTGTGTACTAACTCCAATATCTGGATCACCTGTTAGCCTGTTGTTATTTTCTGTTTTTTTTCTTGAGTTTTGATCATGCATATCTATCTTTCAGCATGCTCCCTAATTTTTTTTCTTTTTTTAAAGATTTTATTTATTTATTCATGAGAGACAGAGAGAGAGAGAGAGAGAGAGTGGCAGAGGGAGAAGCAGGCTCCCAAGGAGCAGGGAGCCTGATGCGGAACTCGATCCCAGGACCCTGGGATCATGACCTGAGCCGAAGGCAGACGCTTAACCATCTGAGCCACCCAGGCATGCTCCCTAATTTTTAATAAAATGCCAGACATTGCATGCAATATAGAGACTTTAAATGGTGTTACCTTCTACTAGAGAGATTTTATACTTTCCTTTGCAAGGCGGATAGAAGTCAGAGATCACCTTAATCGAATCATGAATTACAGTGATTATATTTTTTCTAGGGCTTAATTTACCTCTGGCTTGTTCGTTTTCTTAAGTGTAGTCCTCTAGGGATTTCAGCTCCAAGCCTGATGTGTTCAAGACCCCTCTCTGTCAGCTTCTGAACTTCAATCTTTAATGCCTCCGTGTTTTGGCTTAGATGTTTAGCATCACCCCATCTCTTATCCTCTGGCAAAGAGCTTCATGGGGAAACAGATCATGTGTTTTGAGGCTCCTCAAACCTGCAATTTTGCCATTTTTAATGGCAAAGCTTAATAAGACCACAATAAGCTTTTTCTCAGTTCTTTAACAGCAACCCTTGCCAGGTCTAAACCCAAATTCTTTCTCTGTTGCCTTTATGAGTAAATGCCACCAGGGAAAAAGTATCCTACGGAGTGATAGTTTACCTTTCAGAGGTTCTACCCTCTTTAGAATCTTAGCCCTTCTTGTCTATGCTGACAACTCAATGTTAGAAGCATCCACAACTGTATGAGGCCTTTAAAAATAAGATTTTCTTACATTTTATCTGGATTTCAATTATTTTTGGTAAAAATGTGATCTTCTGCAAACTTATTCCCTCTAAAGCCAAAGTCATCCATGACTGATGCATTTTCTGAACTTCTACCCATAAACAGTAAAAATTGCAAAATGTGGGTGCCTAGATGGCTCAGTTGGTTTAATGTCTGCCTTCAGCTCAGGTCATGATCTCAGGGTCCTGGGATTGTGCCCTGCATCCAGCTCCCTGCTTGGTGGAGAGTCTCTTTCTCCCTCTGCCCTTCCCCACTACTTGTGTGCATGCTCTCTCTCTCAAATAAATAAATGAAATCTTTTAAAAAGTTGCAAAATGCTTTTGAATTTCTCTTTGCTATAATTTCTAGTACCACGTACATGATAATAATAAAATTTATTATAAAAGTAAATTATTTTTCAGCATCAGTAAATATAAAACCTACACAAAATAATAATGCTGGCTCAGAAGTTCTATATTTGAAGGCTTTCATAAGATGTGACTGATTTTTCTGTTTTTGAAAATGATAAAATCTGTTTTCTTTTGAGTGCCTAGGTAGGAATAATATTAGAAGAGTCGGGAAGCACCAACTTCAGCATTTAGGTTAGAGAGGCATATAGTTTTAAAGATATAGTATGTGAGGGATGGGTTTTTTAGTAGATTAATTTTCCTCATAAAGTGAACAAAGAAAGAGATATCTAATTATTTTACTAGGTATTGCATTCTGAATTATTAAATATGAATGTCAAATTCTGAAATAAAAACTGAAGTATATAAAAATGGAAAAATAAATTCTCATCCCTTTTGTATACACAGAGAATGTTACTACTTGTTATAGAGTTTAAAATATTAAATGAATACAAATGAGTAAATTGTATGATGAATCAGAGTATATCACAAGGATTAATTAATTGCTAATTAAAATTTTACATTACCAGCTTCATGTAGCCTATTAATTTGCATCCTCAATACATATAAGGAATTACAATATTCAAAAGAGTGTGGATCATTCTGCTTAGAAAATTTATTAATCAAGGATTTCCACATAATCAATTTAAATAGTTACTGTTAATATATATTTATTTTATGTATTAGTAATTAAATACTAACAAGTAATACTATATGGCTAAATATCTCATATATGTTATGAAACAACAAAAATTGATGTCTGAATTTGACATCACAGTATAGGTAATAACTCACTCTTAATGTGTTTAAATAATGTATGTAGATCCATCCTACTTTTCTAGAGTTCCATATAATTAACTCTTTTTTCATTTTTATATCTCATTGACTTAAAGTCTTTACTCCTATATCCCATTTAAAATTTTTAATGAATATGTCTATCTCTATTTAATGATAGAGCAACATTGATGTACTTTCTTGCAAATTTATAACTTATTGTGCCACTTGAATTGATAAATAGAAATGATATACTCTTTTTATCCCTTCCTTCAATATGCTTTTTAGAACTCACAGGTTGGTGGAATTTCTGATGAACTACCTAACTTGACTAAGCGCTATGCTGCTTTCCTGTCAAGAACACAAAGATCTACTAAACTGTCAGATATGGTAAGAAGACTCCTCTATATCCAAACTTATTTGTAATCTAGAAATCATGGAGGAGACTGTATAACATGAACAGTATATTAGGATCTGAGAGATGTACCTGGTAGGCTGTTGTAACATCTTTGGTGAGCATGATACTTCCATATTTTTAAAGTTCAGCCAAAATTCTTGAGGCTAAGTAGAAGTCCAGCATTGCCCTGTGAGAGACTATTATATGGGACAGCTTCTGTAGGGTTAGAGAACATTTGTTTTTAGGACATGTAGGAAATCATAATTATTTTGGATATGAAGTGAAAGGTTTACTTTAGGTTCACCTCAGTTTATTCATAAGTGTAAATTTTTTCTTTTCAGTTTGAATCTGTCTTGCAACCTAAGACTCTTCATTCAGGGCTTTTCTTTAATCCATGTTAATCTGTATTTTAAACTGTTGCTATGAATTTTTCTAACTAAATTTCCATTTTTTATAAATACCTAATATTGAATAAGTTGAAATAAGCAAAGCAGATGAAATTTAAAAATGAATATTTATTCATTCAGAATAAATTTACTAAAAGATCAATTTGAAATTTACAGTTAAAAAGTTAGACTTCCATGTACAGGTATTGTTAAAATGAATTTTTATAGACATTGGGCTGAAATTAATAAGAAATTAATAATAAGATATTATTAATAACATATTATCAAAACAAGCTCATCAACCAGGTTTTAAAGTGTAGCCATCAACTTGAGAAGTAGCACTGCTTGCTGAAATAAAATTCTAGTAGGTGCACAGTGCTAAGAGTTCATTTATAATGTTTTCAGTGGTGAAGTAACTAGTATAAAATTAGGAAGAACTAGTTTAAAGAAAGGACAAATGCAAAACTAGTTAAATTAATATAGCTTTAAATGTCTAAGAAATCATAGGGATTAATTTGGTGAGAGTCATCAGAAATGGGCTTATTTTTTTCCGAGATATCAGTTTATTGAATCTTATTTTTTTTCAAAGACATTGGTTGATGGGGTCAGAATTAGCATTAGGTTTTATGATTTTTTTTGTAGTTATAAGTTCAAAGACAGTTAAAATCATCCAGCAGTGTTCTTGACATGTAAGAGATTCTCATAATTGTAAAATAAATGTTTTTTTAAAATGCCTTGTTTTAATAGATCATTTCTTTATCTTGAGGAGTTTTATGGTTGTGTTTGTTTCTCAAGTGAGTCATTATACACATTAGGATCCACTGTGAAGTATGTCAGAGGTAATTTATTACTAGTATAAAGTTTTTAAGCATAAGAATATTTAGTGGATTCATAGTTATTTCTATCATGATATTATAGCTACTAGGAAAAAATGCAAATCTCTGAAGGTACCCATAGGACTGCATATGTATGTGCTAAATGTTTGTAGAGAAACAAGATGGTGATGTGCCCTAAAAAAAGATGAGTTACTTTACCAATTGCTTTTACTTAATTTACATTTTTCTCTTTTAATTTGGTCTCTCACTGGATCTGGAAACTCCTGTTTTAGTATTGTTGTTTTTTGACATGAAACATTTGGAATTTAAAGTATTGGGTGGGACTTTGCTTACCCAAGAAGCAAAATAGTTTAATTACATAGAATACTTTGGTTTTAGAAACTTTTCTGCATATAAAATACCCTTCAAACATGTAGGTGTATAATATATATCTCATGAAAAATCCAAACTATTGATCCCAGATCAAAATTGATTTCAAACTTATAAAGTAATGGAATTAATTTTATAATTTTCACTTAAAGTAAAAATATTAGAAAATTAACTGCCTACATTTTAAAGGGTGTAAGTTTGATTTTCAACATTTTATATGTTTCACATAAAAATATTTAAAAACTCAGGCTTCTGGTTTCATATGAAAGACATATACATACATCTCTCTTCCTTTTACATGGTCCCAATGAAATAGATTTTTTTTAAACTACAACATAGCATTAGTTTAATATAAAAAGACAAAGAGATTGAAAATATGATAAATGGAGGCTAGAAACAAGCCAAACATCTGTTTATTAGGCGTAGTAGTTAGGAGTATTTGATATAAAAAACAGTAAATTATCCTGAAATGAATAAAGACAGAAGTCTTCAATTAGAAGAACTGAATATAATACCAAGGAAGATGAATTTTAAAAGACATACATCCCTTTCACATTGCTTTGCATTTTCAGAAGACTAGAATTAAAATACCCTTGAAGCTTCCACAGAGAAAAGTAACTGGGTCACCTACAGAGGAATGAGAAACATACTGATATCCAACACTTTCCCAGCAGCATTGGCAACATTTCAGAGCTAGGAGATGATGGAATAACACTTTCTTGAATTTCCAAGAGGAAATAAATTTGGATATAGAATTCTGCCTTTATACAATATAAATCCAATTAAATGAATCAAGAGAATAATTTTCTGGTATGCAAGAGCTCAGAAAGTTTAGTACTTCTACATTTCCATGTATAAAGATGCTCCAGCAAAATATAAAAAGGGAAATGACAGATGATATACCCCTAGAGAACAGAAACTGAGCATTTCCTGGATGAAGTAAAATGAAAACAAATTAATAAAGAAGGCATTTTTAGCTCATTCATGGGTTATTCTTGAGGAGTCATGGATTTGGTGGCAGAATTTCATTTACTTCTCTATGTGTTTGGTTGGCCACACGAGTTGGTTTGATAAGGAATAACCATGATATTTGAATTTCTGTTTTAATACTGAGTGGTTTTAGATCAATCTATACAAATTGCAGAGGACTTATTTATAATATAAAAATATAAATATTAGAAAACTTAATATCAATAAAACAAAAGCAAGAAGTGAAAGGTTGGGATGCAGTAAAACGTGCCAAACTTCTTATAGTACACAGAGTCAAGAGATGTCAAAAATTGACAAATCACAGTAGAAGTTCTTATATTAAGTTTGTAATGGTAAATAAAAAAAACCCTCTAAGAAACCCAATTACTGTTAAAATAAATTATTTCTGGAAATGGAACTAGAGAGAGGTCAAAGAGGACAATTTTACTGTTCATTTTAGACTCATATATGATTTGATTTTTATTTATACTGTGAACATATTATTTTAAAATAAAAATAAAAATAGTACTCATGAATTAATGATGAGTATGTATTTGGAATGGCATGATCTACTGGTACCTAGACTGACCCATTCTCTGCAAACAACCAAAATTCTAGATAAAATAGAAACAAATATATTCATGAGTGCTTCCAAGAATTAGGAAGAAATTAGGAGTACACAGGCTAAAGACTAAATTAAGGAGGGCCCTGGAGTGGCAGAGCACTGAAGTTCACTTTTACCCTAAGGACATTTGCCAAACCATATGACATTGAATTTTAATTTTTATAGCCTTCAAGCCCTCCAGGGAATGAAACAAAGCCTCTCATAGTGGGTAGTCTCAAAGAAGATTCATTAATACAGTTAAAACCCCAAAGGGCAAGCTGTACAGCTTAAAAGTGAAATGCAAATAAATACCTACCAGAGGATTTGAGAGAAGTTACTGGTGTTGGGCACTTTGGTTTTGAATGTATATTAGAGGAATTACCCCTGAGAATCTGTTACATTTTATATTCATTTAATGATGTGAATTGTTAAAAAACACAAAACATGTCACAGATATTAACAAAATTAATTTAATTTAATTTATTATTATTTTTTAAAGATTTTATTTATTTATTTGACACAGAGAGAGAGACAGCTGGAGCGGAACACAAGCAGTGGGAGTGGGAGAGGGAGAAGCAGGCTCCTGGCTGAGCAGCGAGCCCGATGCGGGGCTCGATCCCAGGAGCCTGGGATCATGACCTGAGCCGAAGGCAGATGCTTAACGACTGAGCCACAATAAAATTAATTTTATTAATAAAAATAAGAGCTAATGCTTATATAGTGCTTGTTTTAAACCAGGCACCATTCCAAATATATAGTAACTCATTTGAATACTACAATTATGGTCATTTTTTAAAATGAGGAAACTGGCACCTGGGTGGCTCAGATGGTTAAGCGTCTGCCTTCGGCTCAGGTCATGATCGCAGGGTCCTGGGATTGCCTCTCCCTCTCTCTGATCCTCCCCCACCCCCATGCTCTTTCTCTCTCTCAAATAAATACAATTAAAAAAAAAAAGAAAGTTATAATGCTATATTTAGGCAGAGAGGGCCTATATCAGTCAGGGTCTAGTCAGGACATAGAACTGCACTAGTTATTTTGAGACAGATAATATAAGGGATCATGTATATTGGAGAACTGAAAAGGCAAAGAGGGAACACTAAAGTATCTTGGAAATAGTAACACAGGCAATCAGTGCCACCATTTTTAGGCCTTGGGGAATAAAGGGACTCGGTGGAATTATTAAAACTTGAAAGGTTGGAGAGACGTTTTGTTGCTGGGATTCAACTCTCTGAAGAGGAGGCATAGCTCAGCTGGTGCTAGTGTCTCAGGAGCTCAAAAGTAAGATCAGACCCTTGGGACCCTGAAGATAGTAAAAATATATTGGAAATGGGTTTCAGCTGAACTATTTCACAAGAATCAAAGTTATTCTGACTAAACTATATTACCCTCAATCTTTTTTATAATTTCTCACTGGAACATATAAAGTGCTTTAATTTTTGCATAGTTTTTGGAGTTTATTTTGTTGGTTGGTTAGTGTGCTTGTTGGCATCGTATCATTCACCCAATCATTGGTGAGGGAGAGAACATTAAAATGAATTTTCTGAATATAGGCCCATTAATACAAGTGAAGGATTTAGGCCAATGATTTCTGACACACTGGAGAGTGATTTGGTCACAGTGCACTTAGATACTTTGTGTATTTCCATTACATTTTGAAGTCTATATACATTTTCATATAATTGTCTGACTTCATTAGTTCAGAAAATGGGTTTGATATGCAAGCAGCAAGAATAGGTGCTGTTGGATACCATCTTCATCAGAGCAGAGAAAGAATAGTGAAGGCAACTCCTGAGCCAGATACATTGGGATAAGCCAGATTCTAATAGCTT